TTATGAAACAAGAAATGTACCTGTGTATGTTTCCTTCCATGAGTGGCCATGGAGCTTTCTGCAATTCTTTGAACACATCTCTCTTTGGCAGATCAACGCCTCCACTCCTCTCCACCTGGCAGCTGAAGGTGGGCACAAGGAGGTGGTGAAGACCCTTGCTGACAACGGCGCCTCTGCCACTGATGAGAATGGAGAGGGCATGACCCCCATTCACCTCGCCGCCAAGTCGGACCACACCAACGTGCTGGACTCACTCCGAGGGGCAGCTGACCTCAAGACACCCAGTACAAAGGTGGGAAAGGAATCAGTATGATTCTGAATTGTTTTTGCAAGCTTTAAAGTACAATTAGCAGTCCATTCTTGTATGTGTGGTTATGCCCTTGGTGCTGAATGTATTATCAACGTCAGCAAGATAATTTTTTGTTCAAAATGACTTGTATAAAATACATATCATGATAGAAATGTATAACCCATTCTTTTAGTGTTTCTCTGACATACATGTATCAGCATGTATGGTGCTAACACAAATAATTGTGTCAGGTAAAACCTGGTAGTTACATCTTTTTGTTTTACCTGTGAATATCCTTGACAATGTACATGTCTTTTTTCCTACAGCATTCTAGATTTACGTAGTACTTGTACTTGCAACCATAAGAAGTTGCTTTAATAATATTGATTATTGCTTTTGATTTTAACTTGCTGTATTGTGTGCTTTGATCCTCAGACTGGAATGACTGCTCTTCATGTGGCGGCCATGTTTGGCCAGGTTGACTTTGTGCGAGAGATGCTCCAGTCAGTCCCGGCAACAGTGAAGAGTGAGCAGCCAATGACAACTGATTCCTCTAAGGAAGTAGAGGTACTGTAAGGGCACTTCTTAGCAATAGCTTCATCTGTTAGTTTGCAAGACAAGATTGTCCATATACAGCATTGCGCATATCAACAAATTCGCATGATTACAACATATCGGTGTGGGGTAGGTGGACATAAAACTCTTGTGTTGTATTGGACACACTTGGGCACATGAATTATGAATTGTTGAGATACATGACAGTAATTTGATTTGTTCTTGTAAGCATTTAAGTACAAAAGGCAGGACAATTCATGTTACATTAAGTGTTATATATGTATGTGGTTATGTCCTTGGTGCTGAATGTATCATCATGTCATGTTTCTATTGAAAATGACTTGTATAGAATACATTTACCACATAGGTAAACATTGTATAACCCATTCTTTCAGTTTTACTATAACATATCACCCTGGCTCTGATATTTTTTTTGATATTGTCTTATAATCTCAATGATTTTACTTGTGAGATGAATGCATACAAGTCAGCGGGGACCCCTAGTGAAGCACTTTGTCATTGCAAGTGAGGTGATGAACTACACACATGTGATTCATGTACAGTAGGATTTCTATTTGCTCCTAGCTGTAACTTTTGTACTTTAGAGTAATGATGACCACCATCTACATGTATGTAATATCAACAGTATTTAGTATGTGCCTACATTTTGTACATCTTTAGGGCACTGGACTTAAGTCCCTGCAAAAAGTTGTTAGCTTTAATGTCACATGTTCTCCCTGCAGTATGGGTTTACCCCGCTCCATCTGGCGTCTCAGTCTGGACACGAGGGCCTCGTGAGGGTCCTGCTCAACTACCCTGGCGTCCAGGCTGATGCACAGACAGCTGT